CAGGCTAAGCGCGTCTTACACCAATCCAACGAGATTTTCATCCTATCGCAAACGCGGTTAGACCAGTCCCAAAACTCAAAATCCAAAGATTAGCATAATGGCAAAGGAAGGATTGGGGATGGAAACACAGAATTGGTTGGCCAAAAAAACGAAGGTTGAAATGATTAAAAGAACAGAGATAATTGACAGGGAGGGGGGGAAAGAGGAAGTGGTGATCTGGGAATCCCCGAAGGACTCCCTTCCCTCCTTGGATGAATTCTACGGCAAATACGTGGTCCTATTCACCTTCTCAAAGAAGAGTCAAGAATTGAACAGAGCGGAAAAATTGAAGTGTTTGTGGGAGAAGCTAAAGAGTATGGAGGCGATCCTTGGTACGGACCCCAAAAGTCACATTTCACAACAGAGGAAGGAACACCATAATGGTGGTTTGTCGAGATGATAAACAAGCAGATTTCCTAAAGAACAAATCCTTCACATGCAACTCCTCCGTGGTGTTAGTATACCCATCGACTCCTGCCAAACAGTCTCAAGCATCTCCTTCCAGATATAGGCAGTCGCTGATGCAGAAGTATTTTTGGATCCAGTTTGACGGCGTGCAGGAAGGATTGCATGGAGCCATTAAGGCAAGGTTGCAGGAAGAGCATGGACAATTCTCGATGATAGACTGGATTACTCCAACACCGGACTTTCTGATCCCACAACATGACACAATGAGGACCTGCATCAACACGCAGGGCGTGATCCCACCACAACTACCCGATTTTGGTACTTGCAGTCAGAGGAAGGAATGTAAGGGTAACAGTCTTGTCCAAAAGTCGCCCCCTGTGCTTCAAATGCATGCATAGGGGTCACCTCGTAATAGACCCGAGATGCCCAAAGAACGCAGACTCAGCGAAATCCAGAAGTCGGAAGCCCACCAGTCTATAAGAAGTAGAAGGAGAACCGGACTTCTAGTTCGTCAGAGATGCAAAATACGTTGGCTGGGTTTTCAATGACAACCTGGAAACGACAGATTGGGTATGGATCGTGGAGGGGGAACCAACCAAGAGGCTAGATATCTACCCTCCCTCTGACAGTAGCTGGCAATCCAAAAATGTGGGGAAAAAATCTCCCAAAATATTCTCCACGGACCCGGTCCTCAACAAAGAACGTGTGCAAGAGGAGAGGAGGCTGAGGGATCTACAATTGGATTTGGATAAGACAGGGGAACTGGCCGAAAGAAGATGGGTGCAAATGCCAAATTGTGAAGGAAAAAAATGGAAAGGAACAAAAAACAGATTCAAGAGCAGACGGTACAATAATCCAGTATGCTCGCAAAGGGAACATGAGAGCAGATCAGGAAAAAGGATCGGTCCACGATGCCCCAAGACCCCAGTAGCCTGGTGTGGAAATGGGAAATAGCCAAGAAGAAAGAAGAGTAGGAACCAAAAGGAAGGGGGAGAACCTTGTAAAGGAGGAAGACACCAAAATACGAACAAGATTGGATGAACAAACAAAGCAAGTGGAGAACATGTGGGAAAGGGAACCAGTTGAGAAGATCAAGGAGTACATTCAAGAAATGAGGGCACAAAGTTTTTTTTTTTTTTTTTTTTTTTTTTTTTTTTTTTTTTTGATTTAACTCCCCCACCAGTGTTGGTGGTGCTGATAAGAGCGGACACCACTAGCACCTGGGGAGAGGCTCCATCTATTGGTGGGGAGCATCGCCTGCTGGAAAGCGGGTCCAGCGTTCCATTTACAGACTGAAAGTACCTGAGAGAAACAATTTTGGGAGTTCCTGCCAGCATTGATTGCCCTGGAAACCCAGGGGATTGACTGAGCAGGGCATGGAAAAAAAGGGGAGAGGGGGAGAACCTCTTCGCCCAGAACCGGGCGCCAGATTCCTGCAGCTACACACTAGTTCCTCCCTCCCCCTATTAGCCCCAGTCCCAACTGCCAATTCCGTTTTTCAAGAAGATTGAGGAGGACGCCTGGCAGCATTAATTACTCTGTCTCCAGAGGATTGACTGTGCAGGTTGTTGGGTACTGCTAAGAGACTAGTTCCTCCCTCTCCCATCTATCTTTTACCCTCCTTGTTTCATGGGTACTCCTAAGAGACTAGTTCCTCCCTCTCCCATCTATCTTCTACCGTCCGAAGGGCTAGCATGTTCGAGTTGCACATGGCATACGTGAGGGAAGAGGAAAGAGCCAGGAGCGAGGTACATAACCTTCAAGGATTCCCTCTCTCTGAGAACACATATGGGGCACTTAACAAGGAAGAAGAAATGACTGAATATTATGCTCAGCAGTATTGCAGAATAAAAAAGGACCAGGCAAGAAAGCAAGGGAGATGGCAAGGGAACGAAAAACAAGGGGATTGGGGGAGCTGGAGAGAAGGCAGATACAAAATGCCAGAACTGTCAGAGACTTACAACAAAAAGAAGAAGGGGATCGAGAAGAAGAAAGGGCAGCAAAAAGGTGACAAAGGAAAAAGCAACGGAGAGCAAACCAGAAGGGGGAAAGAGCAGGGGGAAGAGAGGGAGGAGGAGGAACTCCAAAGTGATCAGCAAGGAGGCGGCGAGACCACAAATGAGGAGGAAACGCTCCTGTTGCAGACGAAGATTCTGGAGGCCCAAGTGCAAAGGCTATCAGACCTCAATGAGGAGATGAGGTTGAAAACAGTAATAGTGGGCAGCCTCAACGAGTGCACACAGTGAGAGTTCTGGAACAAGACTGTGGCAATAACCAGGATGATTTTGCCGTCAAGAACAATCCTAGCAATGAGCATGGATGAGCAATCAGGGGATTGGCACATCGCCACAACAGCGAATTCTGCCCTCCCAAGGCTAGAGAAGGGTCAGAATGTTGAAGAAAGGTTGAGCTTCTTAATATCAGAAAAAAAAATCGCTGTGTATCGGGTTAATGGGAGAAGAATTGGGAGTGCCAACAATGAAGGAGAGAGAAGAGGAGGGAAAATAGGACATATTAGATATTAAACCAGTGGTGGCTCTCTACAACAGAGAAACAACACTGAAAAGTAACTCCAATGGAGACCATGGTGGCAGATCTCGCAGCTGCCATACACGGCCTAGGCACCAGTGTGCTTCCAGAATTGTCGGCGGCTAGCCTAGCATGCATCATCCCGCTGTGGATCCACCGAATGGGCCCAAAGGAGATGGAAGAAACGTTGAGCCCCCTACAGATGAGAGAGGAGAGGCAACAATGTGGCCAGTCAGTCCGACCCTCTCGTCCTAAATTTCCTCCAACACCCAAAAACGGGAACCTCGGATCAGTAAAACGTGGCAAGAAGAGGACAGTGTGAGGGGGGAGAGAGAAAATACAAAAAGGCAAAAGGGAAAGCAGAGTTGGACATAAGGTCCTGAAACGTACATGGCTTGGCCACCATATTATCCTCACCTACGAAATGGTTCAACATGACGGCCAACATGAACTGGTTTGATAAAGAACCTCCGGACATAATTTGCTTACAAGAGACTTGTCTCACAACTCAGAGGAACACGCGCTAATCTAAGCAGAAATAGAGAGAAGATTGAGACACGTTCAGAGAGCAGAATGGGTAAATAGCCCCAACCCAGCCTCAATCGGCATACTTATACTATTTCATAATAGGTCCAAAGCAGCACAACACATAGTAGTGGAACGAGTAACCAAGGACCCAACAGAGGGGAGGTGGATCAGGGTAGACTTCACGTACAGGCAGGAGGGAATAACCATACTCAATGTATATGCACCAAATACTAACTCACAAAGAGGAACAGTAATTCACATAATGAAACAAGAATGTTGAACCACAGACACACCAGAGCAGTAGGGGATTGGAACACAACACTAGATCCTCTAATAGACTTGATATCTCATGCAAGGGAAGGGATAGACAACACAGAAGCACACTTAATGACAGAGTTCGTTATAGAAAAGAAATTAGTAAACCCCTTCAGACTAAGATTCCCAGAGACGAAGCGCTTTACATGCACTAGAACGACACAAGGAAAAACAACATTCTCTAGAATAGATTCCTTTTTAATCTTTGAATCCCTAATAGAAGCAGCAATATCAGCGGCCATCCTCAAACTCCCCTACTATGAAGGATTTGACCACAAGCAAGTGGGATTGCTGCTTTCTTTTGGATTGGACAATGAGTCAGGGCACGGTTTCTACAAGGTCAACAACTCTCTTCTAAAGCTAGAAAACATCCAGGAGGTCGTAAAACAAACATGTGTGATGAACCGTCCATACATGGACTGCAACACAACTGATTTCTGAGTTTTGCCCATAGACTGAATGCCCTGCTGAGTTTCCCGCTTGCTACTAAGTATGTGTGTGCACGCTTGCTGGACTGCATGTCTGTCTGAGTGCTGGATGGCTTGAGTGTGTGTGTGACCATGCCTGTCTGAGTGGTGGTTGGCTTGGGGGTGTGTGTGTGACCATGCCTGTCTGAGTGCTGGTTGGCATGAGTATGTGTGTGGCCCGTCAGGGCACTTGCTCGTTCATTGGGCCCTCAGGGCCGGTACTTACCTGTAGCCGTGACATTGAGGGGTTGCAGCGGGGAAAAACACTCAAGTAGCGGGTAGGCCGGTACCGCACCTGGAAGGGGTAGATGTGCAGGTACCGGAGGCCGAGTAGAAGAAGACAAAAGTGGCATTTTTAGACGCCCAGTAGTTGTAGGTTAGGTCTAGGCGGATATCAGTCCAACCAGTCTGGGTCTAGGGCCTGTACGGGCAATATCAGAGTCTGCAATGATGTTTCCCTCGGAAAGGGAGGAGGTACCGATTGCTTGGGAGGCCAAGCGGCCTGGAAGTCACCGCCCAAGAGGCAAAGCAGACCGCTATATCTTCTGGTCGGGCGGAGAGTCTGGCCTCTTTTTCGGTGTGCAAGTTTGACGACACACTGGTGGAGCGCTGGCTGGAGCAGCGCTATGCTGGAGCAGCACTGCTGGGGAGGAAGGAGAAGAACACGAGGGAGGAAGAAGGAAGGAAAGGGGGAGGAGCGCCAGGGGTACTTACCTGGCTATGGTGGTCGCCATCTTCATCACCTTGGTGGGCGCTGCAGCAGGGAGTCCCCAACTGGGGAGAGCCACACCAAGAAGCTTCAAGGCAGGGTTGGGCATGGCGGCCTGAGCTAGAGCAGCCATAGCTGCTTTGGGTTGTCCTTTGGGCATCTGGGCAAGGCCTAGTAGTCTGCCATAGCCTCGGCCTATGAAAGTGAAGAGTGGGGAGGCGGCCATGGCTATGGTGGACCTCAAGTGATACCTGCAGTAGAAGAGGGACTCGGGCATTGATTCTGGATCAGCCATTCAACATTGCATTATTATTTCTTGTATGAATAAGAGAAGGGGGAGATAAGGAGGAGGAGATTGTTGGGCGAAGAAGAAGAGCCTTGTCATTGTCTTTGCTGGTGTACATCTTCTTCTTCTTCCTTCTTCCTTCTTCTTCTTCTTCTTCTAATCCTCTCTCTCCTCTCAAGTTCGTTCATTTCTTTCTGCAATTGGATGGCATTGTACTTTCCGATGGATGTGTATCTCGAAATTGGCCAGGGTCATAACATCGGTATCGAAGCGGATTCTACTTGCTGGTGAGAGTTGACTTTGCTGCCCTAACCCTAACCTAAGTGGTTGAGGGTAACACTTAGGGTTAGGGTTGGTTGGTTGAGGGAAGTGGGGCAGCGTGRCTAAGGGAAGCTGCCCCCACCTGGTTAGGACATGTGGGGTCGACATAGAACCTAACCAGGTTGCTTGAGAGTGATATTAGGGTGGCGAGACATTTCGAGGAGGTTTCATGCGGCGATTTGAGAGAGGCGACAGTGAGAGGCACTCGCACCTGGAACCTGATTCAAGGGAGACACTTGGCAACTTAAGGGCTGCCCTCAAGTAGGCGAGCTTGAGGGTAAGCGGCCACTCAGCATCTACGGACTGCAAGTTGCTACTTTGTTCTTCAGCATCGACAGGGGATCCGGCATTGCACTTTGGTGTTGGAGGCAGACCCTCCTAGGAGATAGGACACTAGTGTAGGGGTAGCGTTAGAGGGGTCAGGAGGACCACATGAGAGGGGGGGTGAGTTCTATTCATCTCGAAGCTCAAGGCCACTCAGGGAAGTGTTGTGCACCTACGGGATGCCCATGTATGTGTGTATGGTATTGATTGTCCTGCTGGGGTACTCTGGGTTTCTTTTCCTACTCCTCTGTGGTCTTGATTGTGTAACTGAATGCATGTGATCTACCTACTCACCTGATGGATGGAAAATGAAGTATCTTGATCTAAATGCCGAGTCTTTCTAGAGTGCTTTGTCTTTTCATCTCTGAAGGGTTGTAGTCTGTAGGTTCTGCCAGAAGTTGAAATTTCGTTTTTCAGTGCAGTAGAGACTGAACTAAGTCCATGTGGAACTCCTCTTGGTTGGGACCTCGTTGCGACCTACGTGGGACCCATGGGACCCAGCGGGACGGGGCCCAAACAAGAAGAGCCTCTGGACCCAAATCGATTAGGCATTGACCTCTTGTCTTCTTGGCTGGGATACGGAGTTCATTCTTCTTGGATTAGGACACCCACTACCGAGGGGATCTTGGCCGAGACGTTTCGCATGTCTTCTGATTGCATTGTCCGTGGCTTGACTCGCACCCTGTACACCACTCAATTCTCCATTGTTGCAGTTAGTCACTCGTTGTCTGATTTACTGTACGGTCACGGAGCTGGTCAGACTGGACTCGAGAGGACCTCGTATGCAATCTGATCAGACTAGGTCGCTGGATCAGACCTCTCGTTTGAATTTGTTTTGCTTTGGTTTGCTGCTCTCTTCTTCCAGATGAAATGCCGCTTCGGCTAGGAGTTCTACCTTCTCCTCTCTGAGTTTTTCAGTCTGTTTCTCTAAGTTCATTTCCGATGCNTCCTCTCTGAGTTTTTCAGTCTGTTTCTCTAAGTTCATTTCCGATGCCCGTGGAGACTCGCAACCAGAAAGAAGAGAGAGAGAGGAGGGAGAGAGAAAAGGGAGAGAGGGAAAGTGACCGTCTGAAGTGGGCAAGGACTGGGAAAAGGAGTGTTCGTCCAAGTGAAAGGGGGAGTGAACCTCTTGAGAGTCTAATTGATTCTTTTGCTGACTGGCGACTCTCTCACCCACCTGTCAATACTAACGGTCCAAAAATGGCTCAGCTAACTTCAATGCAATGGCGGGCCTTGTTAGATGCAGCCAGTGATGCCGAGAAACCATATATACAAGCACTGCAACCAAAAGGGAACAGGAGGCAGAAAAGGAGAGGAAGGAGACCTTGTTGAAAAGGCAGTTGGCCATCCTAGAGACTGTTCCCTCACTGACTGAAGAGCATTGTGGGGAACAGTTGCAGTCTATACTCACCGCCCTTGTTCAAGTCAGGAATCTTTAAGATCATACCACTCAGATCGTTGAAGTCTTCGCAAAGTTGCGAACACTTCAGGATGATCTGACTGATATGACCCCCAAGTACCATGAACTGACAAAGGAGGTGGCTCAGCTGCGACAGGCCCAAGTGGCCAATCCTCTTCCTCTACCCCCTGGACCTGAAGCTGCAATTGAAACTACCTCTGCCTCTCTTACTGTATCTTCTTCCTTGACAACCCCCTCGGGACCTGCAACAGGTGCAGATTCCGCTGTTGCTGTGACAAGCAACGAGGCTGGAAATTCTGCAATTGCTGCAGCCCCAAGATTGGAACCAGCAGGTGCTGGTCCCAACCGCATTGGTCCCTACGTGGACCGAAAGGCGGTTCAAATACCGTCTAAGTACGACGACAAAGAAGACATCGAATTTTGGATCAACTCCATGAGGGCATACTTCGAGGTGTTGGGGACTCAACCTGAGACCCAGTCCGTGATCATGGGAATGCATGTTTAGCCGGTCGTGCGGGACTTCTTAGCGGTCCAAGCTACGCGAGCTGGGATTCCTAAAATTGAACGAACAAGGTGGCTTAAGACCACCCCGGTTGCCTCCCTCGAGGAACTCCTCATATCGCAATACTTGGATCCACATGCTGCAGCAAGGGCAAGAATTCAGCTTGACAAAATCAAGGGCAGCAAGTGGATGGGCTCCATGAAAAACCTGCAGACCTATCTTAGCAAGATGTTTGCTACACCTGGATTGAAACTGACTGCGCAATCTTGCTTGGATGTGGTCAAAGGCGCGGTTCCCACCAACTTTACTAATCGCCTGGGCAGGGACTTCATTCGTTACACTGACTGGTTCACCTTGATGAAGGACATAGTCAGTCTTGAGGTTGTAGACCTCGTCACCACAACAGGCAGCAAAAAACCCATGGGCAGCAGACGGTTCAAAAGCGAACCGGTTCCCGCTGGCTGTAGCATCTCACAAAAAACCCAAGAAAAAAAAAAAAACTGCTGAAAAGAACAAATAAACCAAGGGCAACAAATCCACTTTTTTGTCGTTTCTGCACGTCGGCAGTAGTAGCGCGAGGCCCTAAGAGTTAGGCCCTTGCTCCACTACTCTCAAAATGTGCAAAATGAGAGTGAATTGCAATGCTTCAATATGGCTCGTTGACTGTATAAGTGCCACCCGCAGGCCCGATGTAGGGGCCCTGCGCCCGACTTTCGATCAATTGTACGAGGCCCTCCAGTCAAAGTCTGCATGGACCCAGCCCAGGCCTCCGGTCAGACACACACACTTGTTTGTATGCAGGTGCTCAGACAACATTCGGACCAAGTGAACGTCTGTACTGTACGAGATCCAGGTCGTCGGCTGTGAGTCAATCTGAGCCACCGTGGTTGGGAGATCAGAGGCAGGTCAACCTCGTCAACACTACTTAAGGCCCCTGCCTCCGGGAGTCAACATCTGGTCTGACGTTGGATTGACGCTTGCTCAGCACTACTGCAACGCTGGCGTTGTGCGACGACGACGCGAGACTGCTGCATCGTGTGTCTGGCGCCTTCCGGCTTTGGCGCCAGGCTGTCTTTCGGCTTGCTGACGTGGCACATGCCATGCTGTCTTCGACATTGCTGATGTGGCGCATGCCATCCTATCTACATTGCTGACGTGACATTTGCCACACTGTGTGCATTGATGAGTTGGATGCGACATGGAGGGGGATCGGGATCTGTGGATTGATTGACAAAGAGAGAGAGATGTCGATAACGCGATCCTGTACGTCTTCATGAGAGAATTGTGCCACGTGGCACTCTGATGTCATCAGGCCCTGTCAGGCTCGTTTCTTGGACGCTGTTTGCCGACGTGGAGGTGAGGGGAGGCCCGGAGAAGGAGAGGGAAGCGAGGGCTACTATCTCTGTGGCCATTCATGGATACTTATTCTTCCACCCTCTAAGTCTGTTCTCCCCCTCCTCTCCTTCTATTGGTTACGAGACATTGTATCACGGATCACATTTCATGATTATTGGAGACATTATTCAGTGCTGAGTTATCTTGTACTTCGACACTTGACGAAAGTTTCTCCAGACTGGGTTCATTACAGAATCTTCCGCAAGAACATGGAAAGATACACCGCCATGATTTTTGTCTTGTGTTCGTGTCGAGAGTAGTGGAGCGAGGCCCTCAAAAAGAAAAATTATGCTAAGAAAAAAACCCAACAACTCCACTTTTTTGCACGTGGTGAGTAGTGGAGCGAGGCCCTATGAGCACTACTATCGATCTTGCTCCGCTACTCACCAGGGGCAAAGTGGAAATGAATCCTCCCCTGGAACATCGAAAGATACACCGCCATACTTTTGTCTGCCCTTCTCCGGATAAGACAAAAAAGAAAACGAATCAGCTTCGAAAAAACAAAAAACAACGAATCTGCAATGAAACCAGATCGTGAAGACACTTGTCAACAATGCAAGCCCCAGAATATCAAACTGTTGATGATTACCAATAGTCAAAATTGTGTCCAGACAGAATGAGATGAGATAATCATACACAGACGAAGGAGAGAGGAGGGAGATTAGACAAAGGAGAGGAATAAAGTACACGGCCCACTCCTGCTTCGGGCTCCCTCCGCGATCACCACCTCAAGTAATCAATAGTCTAAACGCATATCCGAAGTCCTATTACAATGTGTCACGTGGCACGTCAATAAGTCCTCATCAGCGCACTGGAGCAATGTCGACCTCAAGATGA